CGTGTGGAAAACAACGAGTGCAGGTGAAAAGTGTTATGCCCGGGTGCGTGCCCGGCGCCGCTGTGTTGTGGGGCAGCACCTACCGGGTTCGCCCGCTGCCCCAGTCACTCTCTACTTGCTGCCCGCCGTGTTCCTGCCCCGCCGTCTTGCCGCCCACCTACCCGACGGCGACTCTGCACCTTCGTGGAGGCCTAGCTAGGACCGAGCAAGCTTACGCCTGCATGGATATGTTGGGCCTAATCAGAAGGGTAAATGACAGCATCATAGGGATATGTGGAAATAACGAGTTGGGAAAGAACCGAGTACACCAGAGAGTCTCAGAGGGTGAAGCCAGGCTGAGGTGCATTGCAGGGCACACACACACGCACACACACGTCCAGGTACACGTGCACGCATACACACAACACGCAAAGCCGTTCATGGCCACAGCAGGAGGCCGAGAGAAAAGTATGTGTCCAGGCAGGGAGAGTCAACAGCATTGTCATTAGCGCCCCTCACGCAGTATGGCCGATTCATGGCCAATTCATCCGCCTAACTTGCATGAATCCTCCCAAGACGGCCATCAGGGAGAAAGTTAGTCGCGGAGCATGCAGGCCGCGGAGGGAGACGGGGGGCCAGGTGTCACGGCCTTCGTGCGACAGTGGGCCCGGGAGCGGCGAGTGTGGGCGTACGGGCGGCATGGAAGCGTCATGGGGTGTGAAGTACTATCTCTCTACCTGTGAATGAAACTCGCCTGGCGTAGGTGCTCCCGGACTTGCGCAGTTTAACATATGGTTGCTAGTTTGTGGCCTGATAGCCTCGATTGTGTTCGACGCCTATGAGAAAGCTCCCCTGTGAGGACGCTAAGAATGGGACAAGAATCTTTAAAAAATCGAAGAAATTCGAAAAGAAACTTCACTCCGAGAAATTAGAATTAGTAATGAATGTAAAGCATATACGAACACAATTCAAAGAAATTCATACAACACTAACTTTCAATGCAACAAACTTCAGAAACTGCGAGAGTTTCCCTCATCAAGAAATTGCACCCCACAGTTCCATAATAATATTCCCTCACAGTCATCGAAAGTGCAGTTAAAACTCTCCTAAGTCAAAAAGCGCCGTAATCTTTCTTACAGCATCGCGCATCGTGGCAGCCGGCTCCTCCTCCCCGCTACCCCCACCTCCTCTCCCTCCCGCTCTCTTTCCCCCGCAACCCCGCGCCTTCTCCGCCCCTCCCCTTTTCCCTCCCGCTCGCAGTCTCCGCCCCCCGCCTCCCGGCTGCCGCGCCCCCGCAAGCTCCGCCTCCCCCCAAGCCTCGCCTCCCCCAACCTCCCGCTGCAACTGTTGCTTCGAGCAGGGCTGCCAACCCTTCCGCGCGCGGGGAGGCGAGGGGAAGACGCGGCTGGCCCTACACCGCCGCCTCGAGAACATGGCTACGCTCCTTGTGCATTCTTAGCGGAACACTAGAGCATTCTTCGGGCGTTTTCGGAGACGCTGGCCACGGGCGATGCCAAGTGACGGCAGACGCCACCTCCCTGGTATTAAGAGTAGGGAGAAAAACACCTCCTTGGGACGTCTTATGTGTAAACATGGCCTCGTAAGACGATCTGATCACAGCCCTCCACGTTCATTATCGAAAATTTTTATCTAATTCCTCTCTGATATCGATTATCTCGTTGTTTGCGAGTCCTAGCACACACAAGGCACAGAGCGTGGAGGAAGATGCATTAAGAGAGGCTTACCCTCGTTGGCCTCGCCCCTCCGCCTGTGCCTCAGCAGACTCGGCCACGGCAGCCAAGAGCGCCCTGTAATATATTCCCGGTTAGTGATATGCTCGTGCACGAGACCGGTTCTTCGAGGCTCTGTGCGGGGCGAAGCTGCTTCGCCGGCTCTCTCCAGCAGCTCTGGGGCAGTAACGAATCACGCTGCATAATGCTCATCGCAAAACGCCAAATAAGAAGCTAAGGAAGGGCTTTTATGTAGCTACAGATAAGGACTTTCGTTCGGGCTGCCTCTCACCACGAAGACTTGTAGAGGGTCGAGTGACACCTTGATGAAAGCTATCCTTGAGCTCATTTTACAAGCTTTCTGGAGAGTCTATAGCACTACAGATTACCGTTTACGCGAACTCGTCTCTACCATTTGTTATAGTATAATGGTGTACTATACTCTAAGTTCGTTAAAATGTTATAAATCAAACAGGCGAGGATAAAACGTTGCCGTAAATTTCCATTAAGTAATTACATTCACAGTTTCACGGTAACACAAACGCGTATTATTCCATCGTATGAAAAGCAGATTCAGAACACGTCACTGTATACCATCCGCGCACTGGAACACTGTCACTGTAATGGAAAGGCCGCACTGTATATAGTGTCTTTTTCATCACTACACTTAAACACATGTATAGCACTTTCACTTTATTGCAAATAATAAATATGATGATATATTGCAAATATCACATATCATTATCCATTGTGGGCATAAGCACAAATGTTATCACTTCATCACATCTCTC